GTTTTTCAAGCCAAGTAGGTAACAGGGAGGGCGGTAATTATTACTGCATAGTGACCAACTTTTTAACGACTGTTATTACTAATTGTTATGTAACCTTAAATGTTTTTCTTCAAATGTAAATCATAAAAATCCCCCACTGCCAGAAAGAGCTGTAACATTTTTTTAAAATACTTTTATTTTAGTTTAAACGCCTGCTGGATATCAGTCTCTCCAATTTGACCGTACTGGACAAGGAACCTCTGTCACCCATTCGCCACCGCGCATCCACCGGTATGGCGCCTCTAGGTCTGCGAGAACGCTGCCACGAGTACCTGGAGTTTGTGTCCCAGGCGAAACAAGCCAACCTCCATGCCCTGCCCCTTAGTGACAGTTTCCACTCTCGATATTCCTCAAACAGGACGGTAAACCAGATATCAGAGTACATTAACCAGTTCTTCGAGCCAACCGACGAACTGCGCCTGGCCACTGCTTCAGCCAGCAATACCGTCAGCAGTGAGGCCTACGAGTTGCCGGCGGAGTTGCGGGAGATCGAGGAGTGTGACACCTCTCCGGACGCACAGTCCTCTCTGATTGGCAGTTCCATCGGCGACGAAAAGGCGGCGGATGAGGATGCCACCGGAAGAACCGATGATATTACAGTCAGAATAAATGAGGACACGGATGATCTCAGGACAATGCCTGTTCTTGGCAGTAATATGCCCCTGGCGGGCAACGGGAAACCAGTGACAGTCCTTCAGTTAAATGAGGCAATGCGCGCCAGTGATCTGAGTGATTTTGACAGGAAAATATCGAAGGCGAAGACGTCGGCTGCGTCGGCGATAAAGATTGACAGTAGTGGACATGGATATGAGGAATTCTACGACGATCTTCTGCAATCACTCGGTCTCAATGGAGCCTTAGTCAGGCAGGTTAGTAAGCGCGCACTGTGTGCCCCTTTTTGTGCCATATCGACATTAATAACGCTTCAGTATATATTTGTTTAATCTGTGTTGGTAATGGCGAGTTGACTGTGTCAAGTGTG